CCAGCCCTCTCCGAAAGTGTACCCCTGGGCACAGTGGGAAGGGTTGCATGCCAGGGACAGAACCTTCCAGCGCCCTGACCTTGGCTTCCAGCCTCCCAGTATCTGTGGCTGAAGCATCCCAGCCTGGCAGGCCCCAAGGAAAACCCCTGACCACCCACAGGGTGCAGGTGGCTTCCCACCACTGCCACTGAATCAGGCCCCAAAGCTGACCCAGGACCCCTTCCCCTGCAGCCCCTGACCACCTCTCCACTCCCCATTTCTCCTCGGCCGAAATCTCAGCCCCTGAACCAATCAGGCCTGACTCCTGCCCGGGTCAAAGCCTCTGGCCTGGGCTCCAAATGCCGGGAGGCCCTCTGAGCACTTTCTGTCTGGAAACACCAGCAGGGCCACACTCATTCCTGGGGCAGGGGATGTGCAACCCCCAACTCTGGGTGGCTCAGGTCTCTGTGCCCACCCCCTGCCCAGCCTGATACACAACCATTTCCTGATTGCAGGTTTCTTACAGGTCCCTAACACCCAAAGGTAGCCGTCCGGCCAGGGTTTCTGCACTATAGTTCCTTCTGTGGTTGCTAGAAATATGTTACAGCAATGAGGTTTGGCTCCAGATCCCAAGAGAGGGCTCTTGGATCTCGTGCAAGAAAGAATGCACGGCGAGTCTGCAGTGCAAAGCAAAAGCACGTTTATTAAGAGAGTAACGTGGTGAAAGAACAGCTGCTCCACAGACAGAGCAGGCATTCCCAAAAGAGGAGGGACGCGTCCACCCTAGGTACAATGCTGACATAAGGAGACGTGCTCAGCTACAAGGGTTTGTGATAAAGGATTAATTTTCTCTTTTCTTGTTTGAGATACAGTCTCGCTCTGTCTCCCAGGCTGGGGTGCAGTGGCGCAATCTCGGCTCACTGCAACCTCCGCCTCCCGGGTTCAAGCGAGTCTCCTGTCTCAGCCTCCAGAGTAACCGGGATTTCAGGTGCACCACCACGCCTGGCTAATTTTTGTATTTTTACAGAGATGGGGTTTTGCCATGTTGGCCAGGCTGGTCTTGAACTCCTGACTTCAAGCAATCCACCCACCTCAGCCTCCCAAAGTGCTGAGATTACAGGTGTGGGCCACTGTGCCCCACCTATTTTCTTAATTACTATATTTTGCAAGAATCGATATTATCTTTAAAACAAAATTAGGAATGCCTTTCTTCTCCAGATGTTGGGATTATCTGGTCACTCCCAAGTCTGAGTCTGTTTAGTCAACATAAACACAGGCCAGGAGTGCCAGACTTTCTGAGCAGCAAGTCCCAGCCTGGTTTCCCTAGCCCCTGCTCAGGTTGGAGTCGCTCTGGTTCCAATGCCTCTGGCAGATGGGTTGAATGCATAAATGAAATTCTGCCAAGATTTGTTGTCAAATGTGAACCCCTCCTACCCCTTTCCCACTGAGTCTGTTTCATCCCCATTCTGTCTGGCTTCTGTGGACGCCAGAGGGCTGTTCCTGCCCACTCAGGAGGGAGGCTGGGAGGAGTGGAGAAGGAGGAACCCTCCTTCACTGGGCTCAGGGTCCCGTCTGGTCCTCACAGGGCTGGGGCTTCCCATCTGAGGTCCCGGGCTGTGCATCAAACAGGCGAAAAGTGGAAAGAACCGCTGGGCGCCATCCAGGCCAGGGTGAGGGGGGACCACGGACCCTAAGACTCCCCGCAGAGACTCTTCGAGGTCCTCCTGCTTGTCCACACCCAGCACCCCCAGAGGGGCGGGGGCGAGGCCTGGCTTCCAAAAGTCCGCTCCTGGTGGCTCAGGAAGGAAGCGCGTGTCCTGGGTGGGGCGCACCGTGGTGAGGTCTGGCGATACACATTAGGGTCTCCACAGCCACACCCGGGGCTCTGGCCCAGCCCTGGCAGCCTGCAGTCAGCAGCAGATAAGTGGGTGGGAGGGTGGCCGTTGCCTGGCCACAGAGCCCTGAGCGCCCACCCCGTGGCTCCTGCACGTGGACTTGGCCACAGCGCCCTGAAGCTGCCCTGTGGGGTTGAGCCCGCCTGGATGCCCACACCTGCACCCACCATGGCACACTCACCTCCTCCTGCTCCCCCACCCCGGCACACCCATTTCCTCCTGTGCCCCCACCCTGGCACACCCGTCTCCTCCTGCACTTTTCACTCGGCCCCACTCCAGGGCTCTGCCGCCCTCTACGCGCCCAGAGGGAGCGCTGCGCTGCCCTCATCTGGAGAACACGCAGGGTCCCTCCAAGGGGCCCCACCCCCGTCAGGCTCAAGCGGCCACCTTTGTGTCACAATGAGGGCTCCCCCCACGAAGAGGTGGCTGCCCCAGGTCACTCTGGGCTCATGATGAATGCATGGTGGACTCGACTGCACGGTGGCCTCTGTGATGGACTCTGGGGCAGGCAGGCTTCTGTGACATGGGCCTCAGAGGGCTGGTCACAGAATGCTGGGACCTGCTGGGACCGCCCGTCGAGTGAGCACTGGGTACTGAACTGCCATAGTCACTGCCTGACTGTGGCCTGCACAGGGCACCATTCAGTAGCGGGGGCACCACAGGTGTGCTGCCAGGCTGGGGGTCAGGGGAGCCCTGGAGCCACCTGCAGCGGGACAAGAGCGTGTCCCTCCACCCTCCACCCTCCTGCTGCCTCCTCAGAAGCTGTATCTGCCCCTGGCCAGGACAAGAGCGTGTCCCTCCACTGCTAGCCTCCTGCTGCCCCCTCCGCAGCTGTGTCTGCCTCAGGGCCCAAGTCAGAAGTTGATGTCCTGCCCACTCTTCTGGCCTTCCGCTTCACGCGCCTAGGCCCAGACATCGCCTTCAGCCGCCGTGGTCCCGTGCATTCGCCTCTGCTCAGGCCAGCCCGTCTCTGCTGTCGTCAAGTGCGCTGAACACACTGGACAGCCCCACTCCCCTCCATCTGTCCTGCCAGGGGTCAGAGCCCTACAGCCAGACGTCTTCTTCAGAGGGGAATTTGGCAGATTCTATTCAACTTTTTTTTTTTTTTTTTTGAGACGGAGTTTCGCTCTTGTTACCCAGGCTGGAGTGCAATGACGCGATCTCGGCTCACCGCAACCTCCGCCTCCTGGGTTCAGGCAATTCTCCTGCCTCAGCCTCCTGAGTAGCTAGGATTACAGGCACGCGCCACCATGCCCAGCTAATTTTTTGTATTTTTAGTAGAGACGGGGTTTCACCGTGTTGACCAGGGTGGTCTCGATCTCTTGACCTCGTGATCCACCCGCCTCGGCCTCCCAAAGTGCTGGGATTACAGGCTTGAGCCACCGCGCCCGGCCCTTCTATTCAACATTTTAAGTATACATCGCATGCACTTTGATCCAGAATTCTACTTCCAGAAGCTGATCCCGCAGCTCACTCAACCACGCCAAGACAGCAGGAACGGGACTGCAGGTGGAAGCAACACCTCCCAAAGCAGACAGGTGGGACCAGGTGCCACGCGGCCTCCCCACGTGAGGAAACTTGCACCTGGTACCCCCATGAAGGCGAATGACACAGACACAAGACCAGCTATCATGGACGCTGGCCTGTGCACCCACAGTGACTTTTTTTTTTTTTGAGACAGAGTCTCGCTCTGTCACCCAGGTTGGAGTGCCGTGGTGCATTCTCCGCTCACTGCAATCTCCGCCTCCCTGGTTCAAGCAGTTCTCCAGCCTGTCTCCCAAGTAGCTAGGATTACAGGTGCCCGCTACCACACTCAGTGAATTTTTGTGTTTTCAGTAGAGACAGGGTTTCACCATGTTAGCCTGGCTGGTCTCGAACTCCTAAGGTGATCTGTCCACCTCAGCCTCCCAAAGTTCTGGGATTACAGGCATGAGCCACCATGCCTGGCCACTGTATTTTTAACCTGACCAATATTTTTTTTCTTAAGAGCTGACATCAGAGAGGAAGTATTTTTCTCACCAACCATTCCTTTCAAAGCAGGAGTCTCACTGTAATCAGGAAATTTCCAACTTTTTTCTTCACTCGTCACCCAGGCTGGAGTGCAGTGGCATGATCTCGGCTCACTGCAACCTCTGCCTCCTGGGTTCAAGCGATTCTCCTTCCTCAGCCTCCCGAGTAGCTGGGATTACAGACGCATGCCACTACGTCTGGCTAATATTTTGTATTTTCAGTAGAGATGGGATTTTGCCATGTTGGCCAGGCTGGTCTCAAACTCCTGACCTCAGATTATCCAACAGCCTTGGCCTCCCAAAGTGCTGGGATTACAGGCGTGAGCCCCCGCGCCTGGCCAGAAAATTTCCAATTTCTTAAAACAATTCTAAGCCTAAGTTTCTGACAAGGATGAGACTCTCAAACGAGGTACCAGGCACTGAGACCACACCATGACAGTGTGTCTTCAGGGCAGGAGTTATGCCCTCATCTCTTCCCCATCCCGGAAGCAAGTCTGCAGCCATCACACATTCCTGAATGAGCCTGACAGCAGGGTCAGCACCGGGGGTTTCTGCTGCAGACAGGCTGGTGCTTCCATCTACAAACGCTGCGCCCTGCTGGGCAGGCCCACAGGACGGACAGATGCACCCAGAATCTGCTGCTCAGACTAAACCCTGCTCTCCAGATGACCAAAAGGGCGGCGGGGGGCAGGGGCGCTCCCTAAGAACCTGGTACAGAAGGCACCCAGGGAAGGACGGGCGGGGAGCATGAGCACGAGCCCATGCCTCATGGAGGTGTGCATGTCACGTGGTGGGGCTAAGGTTGCCCTTCTTGAAGGCAGCCCTGCTTTCTCCCCGGGACCTCACACCAGTGTGTGGAGGGCATGCGGTGGGCAGGGCAGCTATGGAGGGCAGAGACGACCAAGACCTCCCCTGCGGGGCAGGCCTATGAGGACAGTTTTAGGACACAGCCTGGTCCGTTCTGTCAGCCAGAGGTATTTAGACTGGAGACCACCCCGGTGTCCCATGACGGGTCAGAGGCCCGGCTTTACCCGCGAAAGCCTCCCAGGATTCCAAGCAGTCACGTCAACACCACTGAGATGAAGACAGGAACACAAACTGTATTAAACAAACACAAGTATTAAACCATTTTATTGGAAACGGGTTAAAAATGAAGGCACTCCAAGCTCTATGGTGTCCTTGAGGTTAGTTTTGTGGCTGCTCTTAGCATGTTTCAGAAAAAGGCAGAAGGATTCAGACCAACCTTCTCGGCGTGGATTTCCACGCTGAACATGAGGATTAACTGTGCTGTATTTAACAACCAAGCTCTACCTTCAGCTCAGCAGCCTACATGCAGGAAACGGACTCTGCATACACACTACTGTATTCATAAAGTTCTTTTATGAATAAACAATACAAAGTCCAATTTTGATAGCTGCTATAAAATACATAGGAATATCTGTAATACTTTGCTACGAATGCCCAAGAAGTCAGAGAAATAAGCCTGAAGAACTGGGTACAGGTTATATGCTCTGTGGAAATTTCAGGGTAGGAATGTTACTCTCGGTGAGATGTGCGCAGAGAAAAGGCTGATCCAGCTGCTGGAGGATTCCTTAAGGCGTTCTGGATCATGGTGATCTGCCTGTGAACTTTATCTCATGCTGAAGACAGTTTTTTCAGTTTCACGACTGTGAAGTATGAAAACGGAACACGTCATTTATCTTAGGTGCTGTTGACCAACTTTCCCAAAGCGAAGTATTTTAAAATTCAAAGTAATCTTGAGTGGGGACTACTTTCAAACTTCATTAGGCAGTACTTTTCAGCTTCCCCACATGCTGCTTCCCCTGCCATGAAGCACGTGGTCGACTTACTAAAGCCATGCATCCCAATTTTACAGAAACGCGGGGTAGGTCCGGCTGTGCGGGGTGCCTGCAGTGCCACTGGAGAGCTCCCAGAGAAGCCCACTATGAAGGAAGTGCCCAGAACACACTTGAGCCAGAGCGGCTGGAAGCTGGAATGATCCCGTGAGGCAGGAGCACCAGCGCCTGCTGGGTGGTGTGGGGAGAGCCCTCAGCTGGCTCTGCATACCTGCTTCCGTAGCACGCGGCCCAGAGCCTGCCCTGTGGACGGGCCTTTCTCTCTCCTTGGGGCGGACCTGCCGTCCCCAACGATCTCTAAATGGCCACCCCCCAGATAGCCCAACAGGCAGAAAGAGGACACCAACAGGGCTGGAGAGAGCTGCGGGGCTCTTCCCTGTCCTCCCCACACCACCGGCACAGGAGCCCACCAGCGCTCTAGAGCCAGGCCCAACACCACAGAAGTAATTCAAGCGTCCAAGGGAAAAACAGTCTCATGTTCTAGTGAAGACACAAATTTTAAAAATTGTCCAAAAGGGGCCTGAATTTTCATATGAAAGTATTCTAGTGAAATCTTTTAAGTAGGGGAGAAAATCCAATAATTTTTTTTTAAAGGTTTAAGTTTAGCGATTCCTCAATGCTATTTAACACAACTGAAGTTAGGAAGAGTAGATCCTTATCAGACTGTGTACTGGAGCCCTGTCATCAGCAAAAGCCACGTGAATCAACAGGTGTGAAGATTTAAGACACGTGCACAAACACTGTCCATGGTTTTATGGGGAAATGACAAAAGGAAAATCGGCTTCCCATTGTTGCATGTAAGCTTGTTAGTGGACAGAGAGGACGCCAGGCTCTGCTGCTGTCCAGGAGAATGAACAGCCACAGCGCCGGTGCTGCCAGGCGGCTTGGTGTGCAGTCAGCTTACAAACTGAGAAGAATAGTGGAATAGGCACATTTCCTCCTCCAAAACACAAAGCCCCAAAGGCTTCCTATTTCAGGTGACTAAATCTAGACATAAACAAGGAATCAAAGGTCACAAGTCTGCAGGGACAAGAGGATTGTCCTTTAGGGGCAGTTCTCCGACCGCCTGTCCTGAAGGCTGCACTGGTCAAGGTCAGGAGGCCTGAAGGCCACGTGGTCTCCCGGCCAGGCTGTGCTGTGGAGTGTGTGCACCTCACAGGAAGCTTCGGGACTGCCTGGCATGTTGGAGCGTTTCAGTTGTTTTCAAATCTAGCATATGGGTTTTCTTCTTTAAACAAGCCTGAAAACAAAATACACTTGAATCATAAATTCATTCATTCAACCAGAAACAAAATTTTAAGAAGCCATACAGGCTAGTTTTTATAAGACTGACTGAGGCTGTAGCAACAGCGGGTATTATAAGCAGGCTCCCACACTCTGCTTAACCTTTTCTGAAGTCTAACCATTTTAAACCTTAAAACTGAAATACTATTTACTAGAAACAAGAATTCTAACAGATCCTAAGAGATAGGCACTTATTTCCTGATGCTCAGCAAAGAAAAGAAATTTAAGGCACATATTTCCTTCCACAGTGGTTGGCTAAACAAAATAACCTTACTTTGTGCTTATAGTTGCTCCTTAACCTTTGGAATTAAGGCTACAGAAAACTAAGACAACTGTCAATCTAACTCTCGAATACTATGACAGAACTGGGATGAAATGTGTACTTACCATGACAGTAAACCCGTGGTACGTACTTGCCCAAGGACCAGAAATTTTCCCTGTATGCTGTAGGAACACATGCACACACATACTCTCTCTCTCTTGAATTCTTTTTGAGATGGGGTTTCACTCTTGTTGCCCAGGCTCAAGTGAAACAGAATGCCTTGGCTCACTGCAACCTCCACCTCCCAGGTTCAAGTGTTTCTCCTGCCTCAGCCTCCTGGGTAGCTGGGGTTACAGGCATGTGCCACTACACTCAGCTAATTTTTGTATTTTTAGTAGAGACCGGGTTTCTCCATGTTGGTCAGGCTGGTCTCAAACTCCTGAACTCGGGTAATTTGCCCACCTTGGCCTCCCAAAGTGCTGGGATTACAGGTGTGAGCCACTGTGCCTGGTCTCTCTCTCCCTTTAAAAATCTGTATTGTACACTAAAATTATCTGCAACAATTACAACAAAGCTACCCACTGCAGGTATTCTGGGGGCTGGGTGGAGGAGGAGGTGGGGAAGCAGAGGATGGTGAGGAAGAGCGTGGCCTCGTCTCTTTCTTGCCTGTCAAGGAGGGCCCAGGCATCAGGCTTTGGGAGATGAGGCTCAGCAGATACTAGCTGTAAGGAGGCTCGTTAAGGTCTCATCGGAAAACCTGCTCCTGAGTCGACTTCCAGTTTGGAGGAAACACCAAAGCCAAAATAAGGTTTCTGCGTGTGCGCTGCTATTTTAAATAACTGTGCCAGGTTGACTCACACTTTCTCCCACTCTCCCATCAGGAATTTCTTGGAATTCTTCTCTCTAGCCGAGGCTTCCCAAAGCACAGGCCATTCAATGGGCTTTATTACAAACTGGCACAAAAAGCTAATTTCATCAATGCAATTAAAGAGCCAAATTAACCACCAAAATGGCAGGTGTAAGCGAGTAAGGGCCCGAACACAGAAGACGCAGCTCCGCCCAGAGCCTGGCTGGCAGCCCTCAGCCCCACACCTGCTGGGAGTCGGGGCACAGTAAAGGTCGAGCAGCTTTAAACACAGGTTGCACTTGGTGATAACAAGCGCTGTGCAGTGTGTGTGTGTGTGTGTGCGCGCGCGCGAGTGTGCATGTGTGTGTCCACCTCATCTTTTATTTACATTAACATTAATCAACATTAATCAGGTGCCAAAAAGCTCTTTCTGACTCTTCTGTTTCACGGAAACCACGCTGCGCCCAGCCCAGGCCTGCACAGACGCTGCTGGGCCCAGGCTTCACTAACACAGGCATGCGCTCGCTGAGAAGGAGGGCGACCTGGTGCTGCTCCTTGTGACAGTGGCCCCCTGGCGCCTGGTCACTACCCATGACAGACACACTCCAGGAAACACAGGCGATGGAGGGGGCAGGGCAAGGACAAGGAGGCAGCAAAGGCTCCACTTCGGAGAACCCAGAGAGCCCGTGCGGCACTGCCCAAGCACGCAGCACTTAGGAGACTGATGGACAGCAACACAGGAAAAACCCTCCATCAGCCACTGGGCGTCTCAAGACCAGCAGCCAAGGCGGCCTCACACCCCCGAGCCAACACTTTGAGACCCCCCTGGCCTCGGGTCACAGCATGGTCACATGGAGGTGACTTTCCAAGGAGGCCAGAACTCACAGGGAGGGGACATCCCAGCCAATGGGCGGAGCTACCCGGCATTTCCAGCCCAGGCCATCAGCAGCATGGGGCCTCTACAGACCCCACGGGAAGGAAACAAGCCTCTGGGGCTACGACACCCATCACCCGGGCCTGACAGAGGTGCTGCTCACGGCTTCGCAGTGCGGCACTGCCCAAGCACGCAGCACTTAGGAGACTGATGGACAGCAACACAGGAAAAACCCTCCATCAGCCACTGGGCGTCTCAAGACCAGCAGCCAAGGCGGCCTCACACCCCCGAGCCAACACTTTGAGACTTCGCAGTAACACCCCCAGCAGATGACGGAAAGCACCGCAGCAATGTCTTCATGCCCCCGAGGGCGGGGTCCTAAAGTACCACAAATACATGAAACTCCCTAACACAAACAGAGCTTAAAACAGTGCAGCAGCCTGAAAAGGCTCTGAAATTTTCCAGTTAGGTTTCATGGGAAGCACTGTGGGCGCAGGACAACAGATTCCTGAGGACCACGGCGGCCATGAGCCCAGGGCCACACGCCTTGTACAGGCAAGGAGTCAGTTTCCACCAAGTCTACGATGCCACACAACCACAAACGCAGTGCAGGAGACGCTAATAATCTTTTCGGACTTTAAAATCAGTACACAGTCAACGAAGCAGGCCTAGGTGGTGGTGTTCAATGCCAAGCAGTGAACATCACGTGATCTGGGGGAGGATAGGTAATATAATGTGTGTTTCCAATTCACTCCAACTAAAAACAAGTTTTACTTTTGGCAAATACATTCATTCTGGCTCCTTCAAAGCTCCCCCTCAAAACCTCTCCAGACACAACCAAACAACAGAGCACCAAGGCCGGGCAAGAGGGAGCAGGGCCTGTGCCGGGCAATTCTCGGAAGGAGCTCCTGCCACACTCAGAAGATGGCAACCAGCATTGCTCCCGAGGGTGAGGGGCCGTCCCGAAACAAAGATGGGAAACTCGCGGCACCGGCACCTCAGTTACGTAGGTGCACCCACGGGAAGCCAAACACGACAGCAGAACAGCTGAGACTTCCAGCCCAGAGGTCTTGTGACTTGATAAGCAAACAGGTACCCGGGAAAACAGACTTCATAAAGACAACTGGCAGAGATAAAAATATTCCTAGGAGCGAGTTCACCGCAGCACCGCCGGGGAAACGTAGTTCTGTACTGATGGGTGAACCCCTAGCCCAATCTCAGGCCCTACTGGCACTTGGTTCTATTCCGATGGGTGAACCCACAGCCCGGTGTCAGGCCCCACCAGCACTAACGAGGACCAAGACAGCACAGCATCACCTCCCAACCTGTCCAAAAGGGGGCTGGACCAGTCCTTACCATATTTTTTTCTGATTTCATCATGTCTTGTCTTCATCTCTGCTCTCCTACAACACAGAGAAACATGATTAGCACCAAGCTACAGCGTTCAGTGTAACTGCAAGACACGCCCTTCCATGTCCCTCAGGAGGGGCTGCAGGTTTCTTCTGGTGGCTTCCCTCCAGTTCCCAGAGTGAAACCAGGGTAGGGACAAGCTTGGTCACTGGCCACACACCTATGAGGACCCAGTCTTCCAAGGCTATTCCAATGTATTATCTATTCTTTTCAATAAAAACAATTCAAATGCCCAATACTGTGATTTTTAAAAAGCTTTTTTCATACAAAAAAAATACACTGATGAGTAAAAATCGTACACCAGGTTCTGAAGAGGGTTAGGAAATGCGATCATCAGCTTTTACTTAGTAGCATGTGATTTCAAGGTGGATGCATGGAAAATCTGTCCTGCCTCCATCCTCACCAGCCGCCAGCTTGACTCCCTTGCCAGGTGTGGCTGACACCACCTCCTCCCAGGGCTACCCAGCAGCCCCAGCACACAGGAGAGTACTGTGTCACCAGGGAATGGTGACAGGAGAGCCAACCTGGCCACAGGCATACGCTGTCCCCTCTGAGCCTCGGCTTGCTCCTGGCACATGGAGGGCCTGGACCAGCCGCCTTAGCAGCCATAACAGACCCGTGATGCCGCAGACGCGAGCCTTATTGCACGGACTGGAGGAGACAGGCAAGGAAGCCTGTGGAAGCAAGTTCCACGGCCACCGCTGGGTTCCCACCCTGTTCTCACTCTCCACCACGACCTAGAAGATCCCCTGGGTGCTACACACATTCTCAATTTCTAAAACCTGAGGAGAACTCATGATGTATACACATGACTCCCACGGCCTTGCAGATGTGAATCCCCTCGAGGTGAACTTCTTCCCAGAGGGGATCGCCACAACCTCACCGTTCCTCCTGCCGTATCCGCCTCTCCTCCCGCTCACGAATGGCCTTCTCCTCGCTCCTGTCCGGCTTCCGGCTCCTCTTCCTCCTGCAGCAGCAGCAGCAGCAGATGGCGATGCCCAAGAGGAAGGCTCCCCCGACCACCGACATGGTGATGATCAGCGCCTCAAAGTTCACTGGAGAGTCACACACCTCGAGTTAGGGCCGCCGCAGACGCAGAACCACCCCAGCGCAGCACCCTTCCCTTGTCCCTGGGAACCAGCTCAGAATGCGGGAGCATTAAGTAGGAAATGCCTCAGCCCAGCTGCTGGCTCCTGGGGTGTGGAAAGCCTGTGGCCCTGCACCCACCCCACAGCGTCCGGCCCTCTCTGAGCCTCCTTTCAGCCACAGGTTCCTATCTGTGACTTACCATTTATGGATTAACCACGATGAACTGAAATGACGGGGTGGTCTTCTCACTTGAGTTTGAAAAGGTATTTGAAGCATGAGAAAAGTTAACTAAACCAGAATTCTAAGCTATATATTCAGACTCTCCTAAGACATTCTAAACTCATAGAAATGGAGGTGAAGCCTGATGTAGCTTTGTTTTTTATTTAAACCAAAGTCAAAAATATTACAATTATTTACAAGAGAAAGAAACTCTCAGGGCACATACTGACTGCCAGATTCAAAAGGAATGACTGGGGAGGGGCGGACCAGGCCATGGAATAAGATGGGGTCATCTTCAAATCTCAGTATTTTGGGTTCCCTGGGGTTGAAAAATGGCTAATCAGTACCAAACACTAATAACTTCCATAACCAACCTTCAGAGACACATGCAAATTTAAAACAAATCTTACTATTCAACTTCTTTTAAAGATCTATAAATTAAAATCAGCCAAGATTTTTCCATTTGGTTCAAACCAGAGCCAGTTAGAAAATACCCTAACACTGCTCTGCAAATGTGTTGGTTTTTTTTTTTTTTTTTTTGAGACGGAGTTTCGCTCTTGTTACCCAGGCTGGAGTGCAATGGCGCGATCTCGGCTCACTGTAACCTCTGCCTCCTGGGTTCAGGCAATTCTCCTGCCTCAGCCTCCTGAGTACCTGGGATTACAGGCACACACCACCATGCCCGGCTAATGTTTTGTATTTTTAGTAGAGACAGCGTTTCACCATGTTGACCAGGATGGTCTCGATCTCTTGACCTCGTGATCCACCCGTCTCAGCCTCCCAAAGTGCTGGGATTACAGGCTTGAGCCACCGCGCCCGGCCAAATGTGTTTTCAATCATCCAGTTCAAACAGCCTCCTTGGCTGGAACACCTATAATCCCAGCACTGTGGGAGGCCGAAACAAGAGGAGTGCATGAGTCCAGGAGTTCAACACCAGCCTGGCCAACAAAGTAAGGCCCCACCCCTGCCCATTTCTACACAAACTTTCACAAAATGAGCTGGATGCGGTGGCATGCACGTCTGGTCCCAGCGACATGGGAGGCTGAGGTGGGAGGATCGCTTGGGCTTGGGAGGTTGAGGCTGCAATAAGCCACGCCTGCACTACTGCACTCCAACCTGGACAACACAGCAAAACGCTGTCTCAAAAAAAACAGAAAACACTCACCCAGCCTCCTGAAGACGGCCTTATGAGCAAACTCCCCAGGGCAGTAGATGACCTAGGATTCACTCTGGTTGTAACTCTAGTTAGCAGCTGTGCCACACCACAGGTGATAGCCTCTGACCTCCAGGGGCTGCATGGAGGCAGAGGGCCAGTCTCTGGGGCTCCCTCAGTCTGGCCCTTTGTTGCCGTGTGCCCTGAGATACACTTATAGTGGGTTACTCATTTAACAGAACTCATTTTTCAGTTGATTAAAGTAGTTTGAAAATCAGGAATGGGAGTTACATCTGATCAAATGCCTTTTGAGCTTCTAATTCTGTGTTTTTTCTCTGAACCGTTCTGGAAATATAGAATTGCAAACATTATAGTAATAGGGAGAACTAGAGAGGGGACCTTCATTGGCAGAAGACGTCATTTTTTTTTTTTTGAGACGGAGTTTTCCTCTTATTGCCCAGGCTGGAGTGCAATGGCACGATCTTGGCTCACTGCTGGGTTCATGCAATTCTCCTGCCTCAGCCTCCCGAGTAGCTGGGATTACAGGCATGCACCACCACTTAGCTAATTCTGCATTTTTAAAATAGAGACAGGGTTTGATCATGTTGGCCAGGCTGGTCTTGAACTCCTGACCTCAAGTGATCCACCCACTTCGGCCTCCCAAAGTGCTGGGATTACAGGCATGTGCCACTGTACCCGGCTAAAGATGTCATTTTTTGACTGGAGAACTCCAGAAAAATCAACTAAAAAACCCAATGAGATCAACAAGATGGCTGGCCCTAAAACACACCTATCCCTCCTCAGGCAGCTTTTCTAATTAGCAGCTAAAACTAGTTAAAAACAAACAGGAATCCTGTCATAATGGGAAACAAATTTAGGGCTCCTTTTTGCTGATTCTAGAGGGTAAAACCCAGGAAGAACTTGAACTTAAACCAAAGGATGCAGGGGAGACCTGGCAAAGAAAGGCATCTTTGTCTCTGGACAAGCAGCCAATGCTGTAGACATCTCATTTACCTCCAAGTGAGCGTGTATTTTAGGTCATTACAATTAAAGCTCCAAAACCACTTTGCCTAGAACCGGAAAAATGGTTCTTAAGTTATTTGTAAGAATAAATAAGGGTCTGTGGTGCAAGACCTAAAATTAGTATCATGTGCGCCGTGGGATCTGGTGAAACCAGGAGGGCCCTGACAGCCCAGCCACGAGTTCTCCTCCCCACTCAGGTCCTGTGGACAAGGTTGGACAAGGTCCCAGCTCAGACAGCCTCTTGCTCCCCACGGCATGTCAGGCACACTTCCTGCTTCTCCCAGAGTAGCGGGTATCACAGTTCCCTCTCAGCCTCAGAATTAGCCAAAGAAGCTCATCGCACCCCACCCTCCCATGACGACGCGGCTGCCTCCCGAGTCCAAGCCTGTTCCCCTGCGTGACCCTGTGTGGCATGTGGTGCCCCTCCCTGCTGTGACTGTGACTGATGACCTGCTGCTGCTCTCATGTGCAGGGGTGAGTGTTGTGTATCCATCCATTTCTGTAGCCTAGGGTGGGAATTTCATTTCACAAGAGATTTGTCAAAAACGCCCGCTATGTGTAAAGGTGCTCAACATGACCAACTAGTCACTGCAGAAATGCAAATGAGAAGCACAAGACACACTACACACCCACTAGATGGACTAAAATTAGGGTGGCTGGTTACCCTAAACGTCGGGAGGGATGTGGAGCAACCAAGTCCCACATTGCCTGGAGGAGGCCAAACTGGTACAGCTACTCCAAAAATGTTTGGCAGACTTACTAATGCTAAACACAAATGTGCACCATGACTCAACACCTCCACCCCTCCCCACCTCCGGAAACGTGAGCGCCTGTGTCAGCGTCAACACGACCACTCCTAGCAGCACTAGAAAGACCCAGACATCCCAAGCGGCGCGTGGCTGAACAGCTGTGCGGGACACTGCATGAGACTGACAAGAACTCGGACACGTGCTGAATAAGAAGTTAGAGAAAGTACAGGGCTTCCTCCACATAAAGGCCAGGAACCAGTGACATCAATCTGTGCGATGGGAAGTCAGTCAGTGGCTCCTGTGGAGGTCCTGGCAGGACTTGGGAAGAGTCCTGGAAGTCCTACCTACTTTGCTGTGAGTGGTGATAACGTGGTGATAAGGATTGCAGAAATGCACTGCACATGTGTGCATTATATAGACTCTAAACCATGGTCCACGCACTTCATCAGAAGCTATGTGCCATTAAAAACACCTCACGACCAGGTGCTCCAAAGGACAAGGCTCCTCAGGTCCAGCAGCTGTCTCTACAGAGTGGTCATTAAGAGAAGTTCCATGGAAGGGACAAGGCTAGGGGGAAGCAGGTGTGACCAGGCCTTGGGCAGACATGACAGGAAAACACATGACATCATGGGCACATGCATGCCTGTTCACAAACACACATGCATCACACATGAAGGCACACGTACACACCACCACCACCACCACCCCCTGCCAGACATCCCACAATGCGACCACCACCACCGTCACACAAACCTCTGCATTCCCTAGGGCCTCAGCACCAGCAGCAGGTTGTTTCAGAGGGAGACTGATAGATTTGGAAATGGAAATCAATTCGAAGCGCAACAGTTAAGACAGAAGTTGCAGGGGGATCCAAGATGCAAATAAACAAAAAGAATCATCAAAACACCTTAAGAAAATATTGGCTCCTTTACAAAGCTTAGGAAGCCTATGTATTACCCCAAAACCTGAGGTCTAAAACATTAAATTCGACTACATAATAATGAGTTCCAGGTAACAAAACACCACAGATTTAAAAGGCAAACTACGAAACAATCTGAATCTCACAAGAGCTGATCTCCCTAATTTAAAAAGCCTGCAAGGCCGGGCGCGGTGGCTCAAGCCTGTAATCCCAGCACTTTGGGAGGCCGAGGCGGGTGGATCACGAGGTCAAGAGATCGAGACCACCCTGGTCAACACGGTGAAACCCCGTCTCTACTAAAAATACAAAAAATTAGCTGGGCATGGTGGTGCGTGCCTGTAATCCCAGCTACTCAGGAGGCTGAGGCAGGAGAATTGCCTGAACCCAGGAGGCGGAGGTTGCGGTGAGCCGAGATCGTGCCATTGCACTCCAGCCTGGGTAACAAGAGCGAAACTCCGTCTCAAAAAAAAAAAAAAAAAAAAGCCTGCAAAATCAAATATATAAAGATATACATACAAAAAAAGAGGCCTGTGTCCACACTAAGCAAGGATTCTTAAGCTGGGAAAATTGGAGATTCTAGAGGAAGTCACAGATGAGTGTCAAGGGTGACATATGAAGAAAACATACTATGCAGAGAAGTCAAAAATGCTGCCTTCAAACTCACCCTTCCCCTGACGCCTTCCATAACATCGTGAGATAGAGCTCAGTGCTGGGGCTGACAACCTTGAAAGAGGTCCTCCAGGTTCCCCAGGGAGCCCTAGGCTGCTTTCCCAGTCGCCAGATCACCCCTGACTTCCCATCGCCTTGCTGGGAGTCACAAAGCTACTGGCAGCACATTTTCAGCAACTTCTGCTAATTGAGCACATACTACTATTTTCAAAGAAGCATCAATTTTGCAAGAAGCAAATGAAAACAAGGACTTACCCCAACAGACTCCCCAGCGTGCAGAGCTCAATTTACAAAGGGAAGCAGGAGGCAAGACGTTTGTAACTGGGTAGTCCAGACATGCCTTGTCAGTGTTACACCAAAGACACTGAAAGAGACCAACATTAAATAAACGTTAGAAACACAATAGAAAACCAAAGAAAGAACTGTCCAGGCTCTGCCCACAGCCCATGAGTGCTGCCATCGCTCTGTGAATAGCTGTAACGGCTCAGCCTCCCACCTCCCACCTCGTCCCTGCCTTCAGTCCACACCCAGCATGGCGGCCAGCAGCCCTGTCAGCTCTCCACAGACTCACCCAAGGCCCGCGTCACTCAGACCTCTTCCACAAATCACCCTGCTGAGACCATGGGGCCTCTGTGCTGCTCCTGAGTGCTGCCAACCCCCACCCACTGCTCACAGCCTCTGCTCAGCCTGCCTGTTCTGTCTGGAGTACTCTCTCCACATCTGTATGGCTCCCCACCAACTGGACAAACCCTGCCCCGACCAACCAACTGAATACTGCGGCCCGCCTCCGCCACCCTTCCCTCACCTCCCCACATCCTGAGCACCTGGGCACCATATCCACCATGTTCTGTGTGCCTGAGGGCAGGCATCTGTGCACTTCACTGGCTGAAGTATCCCCAGAACACAGAACACAGCCTGGCCCACCACAGGTACTCACTGAGTTTGTGTTGAATGGACTCTGGTGAGCACGGCCACCATTTGCACAGACCCACAGCCCACTACAGCCTCAGGAACACAAACACAGCCCACCACAGCCTCTCTTCCAACATGCAGGGTCCTCTTGAGGCCTTCCAGGCACTGGCACCTCCTTCCAGAAACTTCCTGTGTGCCCAAGAGCACACCTATACATGCCTGAAGCTAGCCGCAAGGAAAGTGGCCCTCTGCACTGCCCTGTCTGGGTTCAGAGCTGGAGTCAGGCCTTCAGTCCTTCTGGACTGGCCCCAACCACAATGACCTGGGCAAGTCCCTCGGCCGCCTCAGCCATGAGATGGCTGTTGTCACCACACCGCCCCCCTCCCCCAGGGTGGTGAGGGGTTACACAGGGCACTCCAGCAAAAATGCTCTCTAGGCCACAAAGCTGCATGCAACAGTGAGCCATGTTTAGGGCTGGCATGACTTCCAATGGAAAAATCCAGAGACTAAAAAGAAGCACCATGCAGAAAACGCACCAGGACCAGATGCATTAGAGCAAGTTCAACATCACCAATGTCAAGATTTGAAACCACAGAAACAGCATCTTTCACTTTTTTATTCAGAAATCAAGTATCCACTCAAGTCCCACAAACTGACAAGGTATGTGTCAAGCCTGCGCCACTGCCTTGTGGAGTAAGAACTGATTTTTAAGAACACGGCTCAGGCCTTAGGCTGGAAATAATCTAATACATCTTTCCCAACCTGCCTCGTGGCATCAAACGTCACTGTCGGGAAAAGGAGACCTCTGGCTCAGCAGTTCTCAACACCTGGTAAACCCGGGACTAGAAAGGGCAGCAGGTGGCCTCTCAGGAATCCTAACAAAAAGCCCCACTGTTTTCTGTGGGATGCTGTTTTCTGTCCAATCACTCCCACCCGCCTCGGGCCTGCCCTCAGGTGTCCCATGCTGACTTCACAGTGCCACAAGGAGGCTCTAACTTTAGGTGCTACTGAACCAAGAGCTTCGTGGCAAGATGAGCCTAAGAGGTGCCCGCCAGGCTAGCCCGGGAGCAGGCCCCACGCAGAGAAAGCCAGAGGACCCTGTTCACACACCTTTTACAAGACCTGCAGTGTGCTGCTGCTTCCCCCCATGGCTGCTCCTTATCCCACAAGGACATCTACATCAGACTCAAGCGGGAGGCTCGGGCCCCGCCTCATACCGCGGAGTCTTAGGGAACTTTGCTGCAGACTGCTACGCTCTTGCTGAAAGTCACACAGGTATTTAAAAAACCCAGGACAACATCCAAACCTTTTGATCATGACCAAAGAACGCTATGGACAGCCTGGCCCACTGGCCTCTCTCTCCTTGCTGTGCCCCTTCCAATCCAGTGTGAGAAGCTCAGAAAGCAGCCTCCACTGCAGCACTTCACAGTGAGGGAAAACACAGGCTCACAGCTTTGGGGTGTAGGTTCCAGCTTTACGGACCGCCCAATTTCTCGACAGGGGCCTTGTTAGGAAAGCTGACCGCAAAGTGCAGAGCACACAGCGTGGCCCCATCTGCTCAGGAGTGAAATCACGGATACTGATCATGCTCAGGCAGTAGCTGCAGTTTTCATGAGAAGGTTTAATATGCCTGAAAGGGCTAAAATAACACTAAAAAAAATCGTAAAACACCCCCCAGTCTCAAACAACAGAGCTCTCCTAATATCCAGGCGACTCCCTGGACTTAGAGAAAGCCCGTGTGCCTTTGGACTGCACTCTAGTCTGCCTGCTACTTACGGAGACGTTCTTCAGGCACTCTTCACAGGTTTTGTTTGTGTTCTGAGAACATGCTGCAAGGGAGAGGCAAGAGAAAAGTCAGTCACTGAGAATCAGGCAATGTAAATGTTAGTTCAGCAGGGCAGGGGGGCACCAGTGAGGGACATGGCACCAAGAACCTGTGATTTGGAATTACTAAGTGAAGGTCCTCTCCCTGAGCCCCTGCTGCTAACAAGACATCCCAGCGTTCAGGGATCCCGCTGCAGGCAGGATAAACATGCAGCTCTTATCTGTAAGAGCTCTTCTGGGAGAGAAGAGTCCCAACACAGAAGGCTGTGTTTCAGATTTCTCTACGAGAGAAGGTGCGCCCACGGCTGTGTAATCACTAACCATGAACCCACTGGGACCTTCCCACTCATCAGCAAGCACTCTTTAGGGAACTCAAGAGCCTCCATCCAAGGCCAGAGCAACACCAGTGACACTGCCAAGCAGTACCCTCATGTCTTCAGACTCCCCTACGGAGCTCATGTGACAAAGCAAGGTCTCAGTTCCCTGGCAGCCTCACCCCAGACTGGGCTATGCTCCCTGTACCAAGAAGGCCTGGTAGGCCAGCCTGTGCCAATCATACAGAACACCCTGGAACTCTGCCCACTACTCACAGCACTGCTGCTAAGGAAGGGGTCAAACTCCACACCGCCAACAGCTCTGGAACTCAAGCCAATCAGAAGCAAGAGCTACTGCATGAATAACTGCCAACACGCAACCAAGTTGACTGCCTACTCCCCGAATCCCTTAAAACGCACACACACCGCGAACTGAAAAGAGCTCTGTGCCCATCACCAGCCACCAGAGAAATGAAAATTAAAACTACGATGACAGATGACTGCACACCCACCACAGTGGTTAAATTTAAAGAAAATGGTAATACCAAATGTTGGCAAGGATGTACAGCAACAGAACTCTCACACGGTGTTGGTGGAAGTGTAAATGGCTCAACTATTTGCAAAGAAGGTCTGGCAGTTGCTCATAAGCAAACATGCGACCACCTACAACGCAGCAATTCCACTCTTATTATTTCTTCCAGGACAGAGGGAGCCCGCATCCACAGACAGACCTATGCGGGAACACTGTGTGATAGCCCCAAGCTGAACACAGCCCAGATGTTGCTCTGGAGGACGTGGACAGGCTGGAACACTCACACAATACAAGCAAGGCACCAAGCACAGCAAACACGTGGCTCCTGTAGGAAGGGATCTTCTGGAAAAGACATTCCAAACACAAAAGGCTGTTTGACATGTCTCTCCTTTAGTGAGCCATGTGGCTGTGCAATCACTAACACTGTTCAGCAATAAAAAGAAATGAACTGGTCTGTGTAAATGGTGGATGAGTCTGAAGCACTTCACATGAGTGAAAGACGCCTTACACAGAGGAACCTACCATGTGATGTCATGGCCATGCAGCTCTATAACAGGTGAGACTCACCTATGGAGGGAGGAGGGCAATGGTTGCCTGGGGACAGCCGTGAGTGGGGGAGGCTGAATCTTCCAGGTTGAGGGTCTGTCTGGGTCTGGGCTATGCAGATGTAAGTCACTGAACGGTGCAATTAAGTTTCCCACATTTTCCTGTATAAAAAAATGTATCTCGAAAGAAAAAAAACAAGACAACTGCTGAACTCTGGTCCCTGACAGGCACGGTGAAGGCGGGCACAATGCATTCATGTCTGTGACTCACATGCAGGTGTGGAAGGCTGTGGGGGACACCTGGACAAATGCAACACAGCAAAGTGTGGCCACAGCTTAGGTGGCAGGTATGCCAGCGCGCACCACAAACCCTCTCGGCTTTGCTGTGCGTGTGAAGAGCTTCATGATGAAATGGAGGGAAAAGAGATTTAGCTTTAAGTTACAATTTCACTCATTACATTTACCAAGAGGGACTAAAAGTTACAGAGTCCATTGTTGGGGCCCTTCTATTTAGCAGTGTAGTTCCACATCCTACTTTTCTAAATAAAACCCCACTTTATTTGAAATGAAAGCATATTTTGTCACGTTCTACAGCAGTTATCACTAAGTAGTGCTTATTAAGCCCCAGGGAGGTAAAGAAAATTGACAACCAGTGAAAAGCCTCATTTTCTTAAAGCACTGCTGAGAGGCAGGGTTATTATAGGGTACTTTGATAGAACAGCACTGCTGATGTTCCCCAGTGACTTGGTGCTGTGGGAGGAAGGGGCAACTGAGGCTGACGGTGGGCAAAGACCCCCGTGGGGCTGTAATGTGATGGGCACCATGACAAACTCTTGATTTTAAAATTCAACTCCCAGCTCTGTCCACTGAAAGGGCCGAGAAAGGACAACGCCCAGTAGCAGAGGCATGCTTTTGGTGCCCAGGTCTTGCTTTCTAGATGCTGTTCCCCACTAAATGGGAGTAGAACACCTTGGAGAAATGGCTGATTCCAGAAGTGGGGCAGAAAGCAGACAAGATGAGCCACAGACAGCGTGCAGTGCCCAAGAGTGACATAGACATGAACGAATGGCAAGAGGACCCAAAAGCCAGCCTGCAGAGTCTTTATGACCAAATCTGGGCCAACTGAACACCAAAATAAATAACAGTGTTGTAAGTAGAATTTTTCATGCCGCAAAAGAAGTAGCACTTGAATATACATTTCCCCAGCAAGGTAATTTACTTCTGCAGAATGGTGTGTCTCACAGATGGAACAATGGCGAGCGCACACCTGGACAAGGAGGGGAAGGGGTTCTCATGTCTGACCGAGGTCGCCCCTACTGCTGTGTTGTTCCCCTACTGGCTACAGTTAGACCTCACAGTCTAGTTAACTCTGACTGGCTATCTTAAAGCCAGCAGGGGTACAAGCTGGAGTGGAGGGGTGGGTAGTTTGGCGGGAAGGACGGTCAGAGTAGGTAAACAGGGGTCAAAGCAGGTGACCAGAGCAGGTGACCAGGATGAGTCAGGACGGGGTAGGGGACCAGGGGAACAGATGTGAACTACTGATTAGAAGTGGTGGAAAAGGTTGTTTACTGAAACTACAAGGAAATTAAACTTTAAAATATAGAATTAAAGAATAAGAGAGCTGAGCATGCTGACACGCTGAGTCTTTGAAGAGAAACTTGGGGTTCACTCTATCTAACAACAGTCATGAACTCTAACCTCTAGAATCCATACTGACATGAAATAAAGAGAAGGCCAAGTGGCAAATGCTGAAGAAATGATGAGTTGAGAAGCCTCCATTTTACCAGCATCACAGTCAACACGAATGCAGGCAAGAATCCCCCGAGGATGCCAAGGCCCTGGGGTCTGCCTGTAGACCGACAAGACAGTCTCAAAGCACCTCCCCACAGGTGAATCATTATTCATGGAGAGAAGGTAGTACCTTGCAAGTGATCAGTCATCCCCACCATAACGCAGAACAACATGGTGATGGGACAAAGTGACAGCATGTGCCTCCCGCAGGGCACTGAGAGGACATAATCACTGTGCCATGCTGCCAAAGTGCACCTGAGTTGAATCAAAGGAAACACCTGGTAAGACCCACTGAGGCTCCTTCCACAAACTGGCTTTCTGAAAACAAAGCCAGACTGAGGAACTAGTCTAGATCAACGGAGATTAAAGAGATTAAATTAAATTAAATCACAATTAAATCCAACTTGTGATCCTGGATTCTGGGGGGGGGGGGGTGGCGCGAGGGGGGAAAACAGGACATTGTTGGGGAACTGGTAAAATTTGTATATGATTTGCCCTATTATAAATTAGGTATTCAATGATATTGTATCAATGTTACATATATTACAATGATATTTTATCAATGTTACATTACAGATTTTGATAATTATATGTATTTCAGTTATGCAGAAGAAAGTTCTCCTTCTTAGGCAATATACTGAAGAATGTAGAAACAAACGGCCACATTAGTAACTTACTCTCATGTGGTTTGGTCAAAATAACAAGAAGCAATACAATTGTGATTTGTCAACTTACAATACATTTTTAAAATATAAGTAGAGATAGAGTCTTGCTGTGTCACCCAGGCTGGTCTCGAACTCCTGGCCCCCAAACAATCCTCCCACCTCAGCCACTCAAAGTGCGGGATTACAGGCATGAGTGACTGTGCCCAGCAAAATCAATTTTTAAAAATAAAACACAAAAATTTTATTTTATATATATATATATTTATTTATTTAAAACGAAGTCTTGCTTTGTCTCCCAGGCTGGAGTGCAGTGGTGTGATCTCAGGTCACTGCAACTTCTGCCTCCCGGGTTCAAGCAATTCTCCTGCCTCACCCGTCTGAGTAGCTGCGATTATAGGTATCTGCCACCATGCCTGGCTAATTTTTGTATTTTTAGTAGAGATGAGGTTTCACCATGTTGGCCAGGCTGGTCTTGAACACCTGACCTCGCGATCCACCCACCTCGGCCTCCCAAAGTGCTCGAATTACAGGTGTGAGCCACCGCGCCCGGCCATATTATAAACTTTAAAAATAACAGCAAGATACAGAGAAGGACTGCTAAAGCAAATGGAGCCAATGTTGAGAACGGAAGGGCATTCAGGAGTTCACTGCACTATTCCTTCAACTTTCTGCACCTCTGAGGTCTTTCTATATAAAGCCTGGGCAAGGAGACAGAGGGTGTGTCCAACACACCACTCGAGTCCTTTCTGAAAGTCATCTACAAGGAAGGGTACGTGTGCTTCCTCTCCTCAGTCTAACAGTGGCTACGGGAGAGGGATGATGCCGTTTTCATTCATGGGGATATTCACTTTTACAGCTTCTTTCTGATAACTAGTCTTGTGTGAACTAAAAGAACTGAGCTCCAAGACACACACCATGAACTCCCAGACGTCTGGATTACAGGTCAGTCTGAGTCAGCGGAGAGGCATGAGAGGAAGAGGCCGAGAAAAAACCACCCAACATTCCTCCCGCTCCCAGCAGGCCAAGAACAGGGAGGGTTTTCATCAATGTTTACAGTCCTCATGAAAACATCAAAGCTGGAAAAAGGTCACTCTATTCTGTCGTTTCAAAACACATCATCTTGCATAGTAAGAAAAGAATGGTGTAGTGGCTCACGCCTGTAGTCCCAGCACTCTGGGAGGCCAAGGCAAGCAGATCACCTGAGGTCAGGAGTTTGAGACCAGCCTGGCCAACATGGTGAAACCCCATCTCTACTAAAAACACAAAAATTAGCCGGGCATGATGGCATGCACCTGTAATCCCAGCTACTTGGGAGGCTGAGGCCAGAGAATCGCTTGAACCTGAGAGGTGGAGGTTGCAGTGAGCTGAGATCACAGCACTGCACTCCAGCCTGGGAGACAGGGCAAGACTCCATCTCGAAAAGGGAAGAGAGAGAGAGAAGAGAAGAGGCATGAATCATTTGTTACTGCTTCAGACAAGCAGTGTTTATTTCTTTAAGAGATCACATCTCTTATCTCATCATGAGATACAGAAAAACCATGTGTTAGAAAACCACAGATAAAAACTGCCCTTGTGTTTCTTCAGTCTGAATGTGACTGCCCTGACTTTTGAGGTCCTATGACTGCAAGACTTCAATTTAAACTCCATTTACCAATTTTTAAAGAAAGTTCAGTCTCATTTGTTTCAGAAACTGAAGGAAAAAACAACAAAAACCGTTTTCTTCTGTCAGGATACACTAACCCTCCATGACCCATTTCAGCACTCTCCTGAAGTTTTGGGCAAGTCAGTAAATGCAGCAAGCACAAAGGAACACACCAGCTTGTGTAAGTGTCTCCTCGTTAGGCACCTGCACCTGTCACACTGCAGGCCGCAGCCTCCATACTCATCAGCAGAACGACCCGCCAACAGGGGCACGGTGCCCACTCTGCACTGTGACAGAGGCATGGAAAACAACTACATTGCCAATTCCGGGGGAGAAAAGAGGGTAGATATGGAGACCAAAAAACCCCACTATTTCAATAGAAAGAAAGAGTTGAAGACCAGCAGTATGTATCAACACTGTGAACCGTACAACACCGTAGCACTCTAGACAATTAGAAAGCCATGCTTCCCAGGGTGAGAGAGGCAAAACTACAGATACCCCCTCCACATCAGGAGTCTCCACTGTAGGAGCAGCTGAGTGGGACCCACCACCTGGGGGACCTGCACTGGCCACTACTGCGCCAGCCATGAGACAGCAGTCTGAGCTCCTTTTAGGGGTTATCTTTCCCCCAGATGACGCTCTTGGATTGAGTCTGACCCCATACACAAATAAAGTGGGTCCAAAAAGCCCTGTCCAGGTTGCTTTAACTTCAAGAATCTTGTTCTGAAGATCTTCAATACACCATGGGTTCTTAATGTCTCTCCTCCATTAAAACACATAAAAAGATGCTTCAAAGTGTTAGATTTGGATTGGTATAATGTATTCTTTAAATTCACAAAGTATACTTGTAAAGAAAACAAAATGTTTTAAACATTAGTACTGTGGTCACATTTCCGTAACTATGACAGGCAGCAAAAATCTCATACTAAGCAAGTACTCCGTGGGAAAAGGGGAGTTCTCCATGCTATAAATAGCCCCTTTCTCCAAGGACAAGGGGCACACAGACACCAAGAGCGCTTGGTCAGTGAATGCCAAGGGGTCCCCAGTGAGAGAAACAACAGTCCACCCACCAGGACTTGGTGATTAGGTGGTTACTGTAACTGGAAGCAACAGAGGACAGCCTCCAAGTGGAGAAGGAAGTGCTTTTCAGCTGACACACCAAAGGGCACTTCTGGATTAACTCCCAAACTGTCACGTCCACGCATCCACAGCCACCTCTGCACCCTTCAGAACTGTGGAGCAGGAGGAATCAGAATAGTCAAACAAGACCTCAGGGTTGCTTTCCTGACACTCCCACTTTAACAATGCAAGCAAACACACCCCTGAGCCACTGATATGAGTTTCCAGTGAATCACAAACTCTCCCGGCAGACGCCCATCTGTTTGTTGAAACGTATTCATTGCACAGTTGTGCTTCGAAGTCAATTTGGGCCAAAAGTTCCCAGTACAGTACCACTGGCCTCCGGGATTAACAAACTTCAAGGCAGCTGCATTGCTAACGTAACAAACAGTACACTTGGAAGTAGATAAAAAGAAACAATTAATTCTGCACTGGAATAAACACTCCATAAGGCCACAAAAAGAAAAAGTGCTCTGCTATGCTAGAGTTAAAGAGAACCTCACAGAGCCTGGGCTACCATGAGTGGAGAAAAGTATTAGCCCCTCAAGCTGGGCTCAGGTCAACCCGAATTCTAAGGGTCAGGAAACTGAAGTTAGGGTGGCGCTATTACCCACCACTAGTGGTCACCTGGAAACTCCACACACAGAAGCCAGCATGACATTTCTGAAACAGGTCCAGCAGTGACACTCCTCAGCTTAAAATCTTCTGGATCTTCCCGCAGCCCACCAGGCCCCGGAGGCCCAGCCCCACAGGAAACCACTCTCCATAAACAGTCCCGGCTTCTGGAACTGAGTCTTATGTCACGCACTTTCCTCCACTAGCCCTCCCCTGGGCTCCCGCCCTAACTGCTGGTTTCTTGGTCAGCTTCCCGGGACTCAGCTCCTCTAGGACAGGAGCTCGGTCTGTCGGTCATCACTGTGGCCGCAGCGCCTGGCGCAGATGGGATAAACGAATGAGGAATGCCACCTGTGGGTCTGGACAGCGCAGAGCCGCACTCAGCTTGCTTCAAAATCAGATGCCACCGCCTGCTTTGGGGAGGCTTTCCTTTCTAAGGCATTAGACAACGGCGAGCGTTCGCTGCTGTGCATGGAACTGCAGCCGGGAGGGAGTGGCAGCGTGAACGCCGGCGGCTGCAGAGACACACCAGCCGCGGCCCCCACCACCCTCCAGGGGCCAAGGGCCGCCATCTCAGCCGGCCCCCGACCAGCTGTGCGCCCTCGAGCATATCGTGGGACAGCTTCTCGGCTAGGAATCGAACTCGAGGAGAGCTGTCTGGGGTCGCGGTGAGACCGCAGATGCCAAGCGTCCCGCCTGCCGGGCGAGGGCCAACCCGCGGCCACGCGCGAGGAGCAGCCGCAGCGACTGGACAGAAACAAAGACAAAGACGAAGGCGGCTCTTCCCAGGCCCGCACCCTAGCCGCGAGGGCAGCTCCCGCGGCCGCCAGAGCGGCGTGACCCTCGGGATGCCTCCGCCAGGGTGCTGCCTGCGACCGTGCGCCCGGGCCGCCCACCGAGCCCAGCGCCGCGGCCCGGACCCCGACCCCGACCCCGACCCCGACCCCGACCCGGGCCTGGACCTCCAGCCGCCCCGCCCCCTTCGCGGCCCTCACCCGCTCCGGAAGGCTCCTGCGCGGCGGCCACCGAGATGAGCAGCAGGAGCAGCGCGGCGCCACCGAGGGGCAACCTCCAGTATGGCGTCGGCCCGCGGGCCACTCTGGGCACCATGGTCGGCCGGTCGTTAGGTCAGTCAGCGGCAGGTTACAACTCCGATGCCAACCTCAGCGGTTTCTGCCCGGAAGAGCCGCAGCGCCGGAAGTGGCTCGCCGAGGCGGGGCTATGCGAGTGCGCAGCCGCAAAAGGGAGCTCGGCCCGCCCCCTCGCCATTGGTCCCGCCTCCCGGCTCGGCTGAGGCTCAGTGCGCCTGCGCAATGGAGGAGCGGTTTCCCCCCCCCCCGTGAGAGAAGCGGCTGAGGCTCAGTGCGTCAGTGCGCCTGCGCGGGGCAGAGGGGTGTGGACGGATGGAGGGGCTCGCCTCGCCTCCTACGCCTGCGCGGCGGGGAAGGGGGGCCAGTTGAGGGGACCCGTGGAGCGCGGTGTTTCGGTGGCGGAGGTCACGGTGGCCTCTACCCTAAAGGGCTGCGGGCATCCGGGACGGCGACCACAAGCGCTGCTCACAAGTGAGCCCTGGAAGAAGCGAGGGTGGGCTCTCGTGGTCCGCCCCGGCGCCCGCGCTCCTCACCCGGGCTTCCCGCCCTGGGATCCTGCCGCTGTCCGTGGGGGGCTTTTCGTGGATTCTTTATTTTTGTACGTTACCCTCACTAGAAGCGGCCCCAGAATGGCCTGAAACGTGTGCTGCTGAACTGTCACTTGCATTCCCGAGAGAAGCGCCGTTTTTCCTCCCTCGCTGTCCGTCGACGCCCCCGCTGCGGCCTTCCGGGTCCCTCGGCCGATAAAAGGACTAAATATTGACGGGCATTTTTAAGGCTACTTCAGAAATGGCAAAAATACATTTACAGGTTGAACCTGAGCACAGTCTGCGCGCTTTCAGCCCCGCGAGAGCCGGGGCCGCCCGCTCCCTCGCCCGCAGCCGCTTTCTAGGTCGGGGCCTCGCCGGGGCCGGGGACAGAACCTCCTGCCTTCCTAGTTCATGACCCTCGTGGATTCGCTTCTCCTTTGTCCTGTCTGCTTAGACCGGAGACGGGAAACCGTGACCGCCGTACCCTCTGACGTGTTAATTGGACCCTCCCCAAAACATGCACCCCCCATCATCAGTCAGACGCTGTGGCTGTGACTGTGCGCCCGCCTCGTGGGAAGGACACCGCGGTCCTGCTAAAAGCCCCTTGGCCTCTGCCTGCCTGGGGGCCCCCTTGCCTCCCTGCTTCCGAGGGCGGACTCCATTCCTCTGGAGTTGGTGTTTCTGGGTGGGTCAGCCTCCAACTGACTTTGAATCAGTGCCCCCTGAGTTAGATTGACCCTTTGGTAATTTGAGGTTGGTATTTTGGCGCCTGCAGATGGGCCCAAAGCCAGCCTCCTGGGATCTGTGCCACTTCTCTGGCACCCGGAGCGCTGGCACCCACGGAGCGGCCTTGGCTCACCCGACCTCCTGGGAACCCGTCGGCGTCTCTGGCAGTCTCCCAGGGCTGAGGTTCAGCCTCTGTTCCGCCTACCCAGGTCCACAGCCGTGGGGCTGGGGTTGAAGCTTGGTTTTAAGGGAGGAGTTTCATTTGTTATTTCTCCAAACAGCTGTTTGCAGGTGCGTGGTTTCACTTTCTTTCCGGGTTAAGGTTTCGTGTGTCTTGCTAAAGTTCGCAACCTTTTTTCTCCTTCAAATTTGGACAAGGGGAAAGCAGTTTCTCTTTGAAAAGAAGCAGCGAATCGTGGCTTAAGCAAAACGTGTCATCTTTAAAATTGGCCAGGTTCTGGAGCTGAGTTCAATTGACATGTCTAAACTGTCTTCTTGGGTAACCAGAATTTCCCTTATAGTCTTTTGTCACTTAAGAGAACTCATAAGCAATGGTCCATCCAGAACCAAGTCTTTCTCCAGGAAGGGCCCACCTTTGGAAACTCCAGCTGGATTCCTGTGCGGTGCTTATGGCGCCACCTCTTGTCATTATTTAGAAAAATTGTGTCACATAACTTGTGAAAAAACATTTCAGTGACCAAAACCGGGTCCCTTGAAATACCAAGCTAATTTACTTGTTTGCCCAATTGGAAAACACTTGCTCGAGGATAAAGCAGTTTTGGGGAGAGTTGTTTTTGTTTTTTAAATGGTATTTGGAAGCATCCAAAAGAAGTTCTAATAAAGGTATTTCTTTACGAGAGAAAAACAAAAAAAATTTATCTAAAATAATTTCTGAATTGAAAAAGACTGCTGAAATTTCTCCCCCTCCTCCCTCAGCTCCTCCTTCTCTTTATCCTTTGTTGTCTGAACTACCTGGCTCAGACCCCACCTTTCTTCCTCTTCCTCCTCCTCCTCCTCCTGTTTTGGGGCCATTTCTCAAACAGCCAGTGTCTGACAGGGTCCAACCAGGTACCCTGGTTCATCGGTTATGATCAAAGGTAGAACTTACAAATATAATCAAGGAATTTCCCAATGCTCACCAGGACCCTACTTGTTTTTCCAGAGAATTCAAATACCTGAGTGTGTGACCCTGGCTCTACTTTGGGAAAAATAAAAATTACTTTAAAAAGAGAGTTAACACAGTTCTTGTTGCTGACACAAGGGCTTGCTGATACAGCAGCTGTGCTGTCTGTACTAAATCCCACCTTGTTAGGAGGTTCCATTCCTTGGAGTAAAGAAAAAAAAATTCAAAGGGTAGGTGTCACTAATCCTCCTGTAATGGCACATAAATCTCAGCCTATAGCTTTTAAACTCAGTCCTTTACGGAGGACTCACATTTTCCTTCTGGTTCTATCAGCTGCCATCCATCTTATAAAAAGAGACTTCTTAGAATTATAATAACCACGTTTCTTTCTCCCAAAGGGGGGAAATGTATTTAGAATTAGCTGACAAAGCTGAGTTACTAGACATAAAGAATGTTTCAGAATCTAACTCAATTGCAATCCATATTGCCCTAGAAGACATTAAATTATTGAATATTGAAGAATTACAAAACCTACTAAAGGTAATACTTGATCAAATATGGTCCGAGTCTTCCACTGATACTGGAAGAATCCCCTTGGCTACCCAATCAAAGTCCTTTACCATAATGGACTTCTGTAGCATGTGAGTTCCTGTGGATGAAAGTGTTGACTTCCCTTTACCTTTACTTGGGAAGGCAGACAATATACACAGACAGCCATGCCGAGGGCTACACTGAGAGCCCAACTTAGGCAAAAACAGTTCTCTTAGATATTGACTTGTCTTTAAAAAATTTTTTTAATACAATACATGGACAGTTTACTCCTTTGCTCAGAAGATAAGCAAGCTTTTATAGAATGTTGGAAACAGATGCATGGTGCCACAGAGAAAAATCAGCACTAAGACAAAGGATCTCTCAGCAAGGTAATTTTACTTTCTGCAGAAAGGTACTCCTGTTAGCCATCTTGCCATGGGAGTACAACAAACAAAGGAAATGCAGACATATTTGTCTTTTATGCATTTGGGGTCGTCTTTACTGCTGTGTCTGACCTCCATTGGCTAGAGCCAGACCTCATAATCTACAACTGAACCCGACTGGCTAACGCTTAAAACTTTCTTGAATAGGTAAAAGCAATGGAAAACAAAAAGGAAGTCCAAATAAGGAAGGGACAGGAAGTTGCCTGTGAAAGGACTTAGAAATCTAGTAACATAAATATTCTGGTTAAAGTACAAGGACATAGAATGTACTACGTGCCTGTGAGCATGTCTGGCACAAATACGTTGGTTAACGCACAAGGACATAGAATGTACTTACTCCTTTATATCTAACAGCTAGATAGGGTAGTGCTTAACAAAGAGTCACTAGTAAAAGGCAAGAAAGCTTTGAAGAAGTCTTTCTTCAAAGGGCATTGCCACTTGTGAGCTGCAGCTATAAAGAGACTTATTTCTAATATTTATTATTATTATTATTTAACAAGAAAGGAAACTTTGAAGAGGAACTTTTCTACTTGCCACATAGAAGATGGGATATATTCATTACAATAGCCCTAAGGGGACATTAAATTTCTAAAGAAACACTTCAGTTTTATAAAAAACCAGTAAAGTACTTGGGCCACTTAATATCTAAAGAAGGACTTTCTATTAATCTAGATTAAAAGGAATTTTAGATTTCCACCACCAACAACCAAGAAACAAAAGAGTTTGGGGGACTGTCAGGATATTATAGAAATTGGATCCCAAACTTTTCTTTAAAGCTCAGCCATTATATGCTCTCTAAAAACAGGACATGCCAGGCCCTTTAGAGTCAGCAGAAGAAAATCCACCAACATTCAAAATGATCAAATGTGACCTTGCTAATTCTCTGCCTTTGGGGCATCCAAATTATAACCTTCCAATTTTATTATTTGTCTAATACATGAAAGTGGTGGAGATGCTTTAGGGGGTCCCAAAACACAAAGATCAAAATAGACTCACAGGCATGTCCCAGCTCACAGCCTATGCTCCTTCCTTATTTGGACTTCCTTTTTGCCTTTTGTTCTCCATTGCTTTTACCTATTTAGGTAAGTTTTAAGTTGTTAGCCAATCAGATTTTAGTTTAGACTGTGAAGTTCAGCTCCAACCAATGGAGATCCAACACAGCAGTAAGGACCCAATGCATAAAGAATAAGTATCCTTGCCTTTCTTTTGTTCATGGTAGTCACATGGCAAGATGGCTGACAAGGAGTACCCTTTGCAGAAAGTAAAATTGCCTTGCTGAGAAAACTTTTTGTCTGAATGCTAATTTTTTCCTTGCAATACCTAGGAACAAGCATTGTGTCTCTAACATTTAGTTTCCAACTTTCTGCCATAACTAGGTATTGAAGGTGTTACTTGACATGTAGAGGCCCCAACCAGTTATATACAAAAGGCCTTAAGTCATAGCAAGATGGATATCTTATTAAATAATAAACTAACTTGAGAAAATCTGTATTGTAAAACCATATGGCTTTAGACATACTCACTGAAGCCCAGGGGAAACCTGTGGCTGTCATAAAACTAAATGCTGTATCTATATCCCAGATAAATTCAAATAACATTACTAAATTCATGGCTGACATGAAAACCCACATAAACCAACATTTCAGAGCCAAAACCTCCTCTAAACAACTGGGTAAATAGCTTGTCTGGATCTTGGCAAACTTAGTGACAAAAACTATTAACTTATTCTAGAAAGCGCAGTCACTTTTTGTGTTTGTCCTGTTTGATCTGGCTCAGCATAAAGAGATTAAGTGGTTGAAAAGGGCCCTTGGCATCTCTGAGCCACTTCTTCCAGTTTAAGTACTTTATATCTTCATTGGGATCTTCTATTGTATAAAAAGATGTTTAAAAATCTATTTGCAGGCTGGGCACGGTGGCTCATGCCTGTAAAAACACTGGGAGGCCAAGGTGGGCAGATTGCTTGAGGTCAGGAGACCAGCATGGCCAACATGGTGAAACCCTGTCTCTACTAAAAATCCAAAAATTAGCCAGGTGTGGTGGCACACACCTGTAGTCTCAGCTGCTTGGGAGGCTGAGGCAGGAGAATCTCTTGAACCCACAAGGCAGAGGATGCAGTGAGTTGAGATCATACCATTGCACTCCAGCCTGGGCCACACAGTGAGATTATATCTCAAAAAATAAAAATAAAAAAAGGCTTGGTGCAGTGGCTCACCCCTATAATCCCAGCACTTTGGGGGGGTGAGGCAGGCAGATCACCTGAGGTTGGGAGTTCAAGACCAGCCTGACCAACATGGTAAAACCCCATCTCTACTAAAAATACAAAATTAGCTGGGTATGGTGGCACATGACTGTAGTCCCGGCTACTCGAGAGGCTGAGGCAGGAGAATTGCTTGAACCCAGGAGGTGGAGGTTGTGGTGAGCTGAGATGATGCCATTGCACTCCAGCCTGGGCAACAAGAGCGAAACTCTGCCTCAAAAAAAAAAAAAATCTGTTTGCAGGAACAGAATCAATACAAGTCTAGTTTAGAACTGTGCCCGTAAAACAACCTTTTTTTATCCTAACAGTACAACTGTACAATGCTAATTTAATAGTATTTGAAGGACATTAGGCGTTTGTAAACATTAACCAAAACTCAGTGAATACTACCACATTGTAAACAATGCCTTTGATATGGAATTTTAAAATATAGCCAAGTTTTGGGACAATTTAAGAATGCAGAAGTTCAAAAAATACTTGGTATAATCCAAGTTCCTGTTTTAACCACATAGAAGCCAAGATTTAAAAAGAGGAAATGGAGGCATTGTGTAATTTAACACGTCTGAAATTCAAAGATACATATTCAATTGTCAAAGACCTTCAAGCTCAGAGGAATGACCCAAATGGCACATTATATGGGAAGTACAACTCTAATGACTTTTTAGAGAAACAGAATGGTTACTTAGAGCAGTCTGGAGTTAAAAGTGCATATGTCTTTCCATGAAGAAAGATGGTTATGGAATTAAACTGATATCATTGTGATACAATCACAATGGCATCAGCTTAGGAGAAATGACAGCTGAGCCCCAAAGCCAGGGAAAGGGCTGTCCACAGGCACAGACAGCCACGGTGGGCTGGAGCCAGAGCCCTCCTTGGGAAATTCCAGGGCCCCCACCTCATTGTGCATGTTGGAGTCACCTGCTGGGGATTTCCACCAGAGTTTTTATTTGGTGATTGTTTGTGCTGTTGGATTTTTTTTTTTTTTTTTTTTTGGTCGTTATGAGTACCTTCCTTAGTAGGTAAAAGAGTTACTTCCAGAAAGGCTGCATAAAAAGAGTGAAGCTTCGGGTAACACATTAAACCACCAGATGATTAACATTGGGGAGAACAAGGAGAGCACCTGAAGGTCCCAGAGCTTGGCCTCACTTTGGAAGGGGTAGACAATGGGGAGCCTAGGTCTGTGGGAGCCCTTAGACAGGCAGGGGTCAGCAGGGTTCTGGGGTGGAGGGAGGGTGGGCTGGGCCACAGGCCAGGTCCCACTTCCCATGACTGGACTAAGCAGTAATGCAGAACCTGCCTCCCTGGTATGTGGGATGACTCCTGTGCAATTGTACGCAGTTGTTAGCTTCCTGGTTTCAGAGCTGCTCTGTGCCACATGGGGTCTCTTGTGGTCACGGATTTGTCCTTGACCAAGACACAGACAGTTCTGGTTGCCCATCCCTTGCAAGCAGTTATGATTCTCAAAGCACTTTCTGTGCCAGCCAATCCAAATCCTCCCAGGGCCAGGCTTTGGTGATCCCTCCACCTGTACTTTTGACAAGACAGAACACAGCTTGTTCCAGGTCATGCAGCCAGTAAGAAGTAGAGCTGGACATGGACTGGAGGCTCACCCTTGGAGTCTGTGCTCCTCCCTGTGTCTCAGGAGCTCCCCTCAGTTCCCTGGAACAAGGCTGGAACATCAAAACGACCTTCTGAAAACTGGCAGGAAAATGTCAGAAAAGCAAAATGGATTGAGGGCATCTGACAGTTTGTCTTACTAGAGGCACATCTGGGGGTTATCCAGGCCATTGCTGCAATCACTGAGATGGGTCTCGAGCCAGGGCACGTGTGTGCTAGGACCCTGGCTCAGGGCCTGTCGCCCATTGCACGGTGATGAACCAATATACCGAAATAGCGGGAGATGCAGCAGAGAAAGAGCCTAAGACTCGTGGGGCAGCCAAGCGAGGAGACGGGAGGAAACAAACCCACCTCCCTCGGGGCTTGGGGATGGTGTTTTTCAGGGGTCTGTGCAGGTGATGGGGTCTGAAGTGTGGGGACTGCTGACTTATGAATAAGTGAGGAGTGAAGTCACGGGATGGGGGATGAAGAACCACATTCTTGAACTGAGGCGGTTCCTTTGTGGGGCCTTCAGACCAGTTGGCATCAGCTGTTCTGCCAGAATTCAGGGTATAGGAAACACCTCAAGCAATTCTTGGCTTAAAAGGTCCAGGCTCAGAGATTCTACCTCTAGGAAGAATGGGAAGCAGGTGGTCCATGTGCTGTGACTCTTGTTAACAGCTGCAGGAAGGTGAGCACAGTGCCCACTACACCCCAGTCAGTGCCTAACTCCAGTTCTTCCCAAAGCCTGCCTTGGAATTCTCCGTAACCCTGTAAAGAGGGTTTCACCAAGGCTGGTATCTGATCTCTGCCGGACGCGCTACAGGCCAGGGCTTCTGATTGCCTGGGTCACCCTTCCCAGTCCCTCCTTCCTGAGGGGGCATCACCACCCTGCACACACCCCTGAAGACCACACCTTGATGTCGACAGCTTGACCTCCATCTCCTAGCTTTGTCTGGTGGTTGTCAAACTACAGGGTCCACTGGTATCCCTGGTGGACCTGCAAAGCCCAGATTGCTGGGACCACCTGGAGTGCCGCTGACTAGCAGGTCTGGGGCCAGGTCGAGAAGGCACCTCTGACAAGCTCCCACGTGAGGCTTGGTGCCCAGGTCAGCCTTGGAGAACTGAGGCTCGAGGCCAGCGGGTCCCCACCCTGGCTGCGCAGCAGCCTCCCCGAGGATGCACTAAACACCAGCCACAGCAGCTCTTCTCCAGCAGGGCAGGGGCATTTAAAGCCCCCAGGCACAGGCTGGGTGGAGGAACATTGAGCTGGGCAGTGGGCGGTGATGGAGCATCCAGCCATTTCTAGCTCCTCCCACCTGCCCAGGTAAAGGCTCCCAGGCATGTACAGCAAAAGGTCTCACGCAGTTGGAAGTTTGTGTTTTTTTTGTATTTTGTTTTTCTCTGGGTTTTTTGCTGTCACCCAGGATGGAGTGCAGTGGCGCAATCACAGCTCACTGCAACCTCCAACTCCTAGGCTTAAGCTGTCCTCCTGCCTCAGCCTCCCAAGTAGCTGGGACTACAGGCACGTGCCACCACACTGCTAATTTTTTTGAATGTTTAGTAGAGATGGAGTCTCACTGTTGGAGGCTGGGTCACCAGGAGTGCTGTGTGACTCAGGGTTGAGGCTGATCTCGAATTGCTGAGGTCAACCAACCCTCCCACCGTGGCCTCCCAAAGTGCTGGGATTATAAGCGTGAGCCACCGTGCCTGGCCACAGTTAGAATTGTAAAGTAGGGGCCTAAAGCAGATGCCTCCACACATGCCCATTTGCAGGTTTGCAGTGGCCCTGGCAATGTGGCCAGTTTTGCGGCTTGGCCAGACAAACTGAGGGGTTTCCCAGGACAAGGGCCTTTCTATGCGAACACCGGGACGTTCACCAACTGCAGCCATGGCCAGCAGCCAGCTTGTGTCTGGAGCTCTCGGGCAGATCCGTGTGGAGCTTACTGCTGAATTCTGCTTTGGGGCTGTGAGCGGCTTTGGCATAGCCCAGTTTCCACACTTCCCCTAAAGTGGTAAAGCAGTACTGGCTTCCTCTCCTCTGAGTACCCCAGTTGGAGGCAGAGAGGACTCTGCAGACAGCTGGGGAGAGGTGCAGACACAGCTGGAAGGGAGGAAGAGAGAGCCAGAGGAGAGGTGTAGACTCAGTTGAAAGGGAGGTGTAGACAGCTAGGGGAGGTATAGACACAGCTTGGGGGGAGGTGTGGACAGTCAGAGGGGAGGTGTGGACAGCCAAAGGGAAGGTGTCAATGGCTGGAAGGGAGGTGTAGACAGCTGGAGGCGAGGTGTAGATGGCTACAGGGGAGGGCAGGCAGACACCCACTTCCCTGCTTTGCTCCTGCCTTGGTCAGCCTCCACCGAAGGCACCTCTTTGGTGGGGCCACCACACCACACCACATTTCTGGAAATGCACCTAGGATTTGGGACAGGGGCTCAGAGCAGGGCCCTGTGCAGACCAGCAGGTAAGGCAGGAAAGGCGAAAGCAGACCCTGCCCCCTGGTCTGAAGCCAGCCGGTGTGCCTATGTGGTGGAGGGCAGCAGGCAGGACCACCTTGCCACCTTGCGCTTGGCCACCTTGCCAGTTGGGGACAGAGCGGACACAGTGCCCAGTTTCTATGGACAGCCTGTATTGAAGTTTTATTTTTTTTCCATACATATGGTTGATTAGCAATATAATTTATAGGATGTCGTTTTTTACCCTGACAAGTTTAAATGTAAATAAATTGGCACCACCTTTAATTAGACTGCTGTCCTGACTTGCACGGGGAGCACACACCTAAACTCACTAGCCTCAAGCCCTCCCTTCTCAAGTCTCCAAGCAAAGACTGTGCAGGTCGGAGCTGTCCCTTCTGATTTTCCCTTGTAAGCATCTGGCCATGCCTGCCATTTTGAGGGCAGAAAATAACAGTGGATTTCTGGTTAATGGGTGATATCCTCAAGAGCTGTCGAAAGCCGTGTCTCGGCCACATAATGGGGGAGTCATGGTGGGTCCCGACGGTCTTTTTGTCACCAAGTGCTCCTAACTCTCAGCAAACTTCGGGTTCATGACCGTTGTGGTGGCGCTCTTAAAAAGCGGATTATCCTGGTGGGAAATGCACACAGGGGCTGTGAGTGTGGGATGTTTTCAGAGCAGAATCTTTCTCTCTGAGGACATGCCCTGCATGGAAGATGGCTTTGAGGAAGAGCTAGAAGTGGGGCAGCCCTCCCAGGGTCCCAGCACTGGTGGCCAAGCTCACCCACGGTGGCGCACACTCAGAGGACAAGCTACACGGGAGGCTGGGGTACAGCCAAGTGCAGGTGTCTGAGGCCTCCTGCAGCAGGTCGGGGAGCATGGGATGCGTGCACCGCTCCGAGTGGGACCCCCAAAGACAGCCACTTACGTTGTTCCACTGGGACTTGAGCTTCTCCTTCTCAAAGCGCCTGTACTCCCGGAGGTCACTCAGGTGGGTCAGAGCCTTCCAGATGACCAGCAGGAGGACGCCAATCAGCACGATGCCCGCCACAGTGCCCCCTACAATGGCGGCGATGTTGGGGCCCGCAACACATTCTAGGGGAGAAGCCACACACCCGGGCATCAGTCCAGCCCTATCTCACTGGGCCGTGTGTGCCCATGGGTCGAGATCGTCGCTCAACCCAGCACTCAGACGACAGAGCTTCCCGGGGCCCGGGCTCACCGTCCATCACCAAAGCCAGGGTCAGTGAGGACCTGGCCTAGCCCCAGCCAGATTCAAGGCCATGCCCCATGGTTCCAAATGAAACCTAAGGGCCATTGCCACTACCCCTGCTCACGGAGAAGGCAGGGCCAGGGTAGAGCGCAAATACTGGGGGTAGGAGACGGTGCAAGGGACCCGCACTCCTACAGCAGAGTTCAGGACAGGGCTGAGGGTCCCTGCTGGAGTTCGCTCCCCCCACCACAAAGGTGATTTATGATCACCAAGGACAGGACCAGAGACCTGAGCTCAGGAGGTGATGCCGCCAGCGGGATGAGCAGGGCAAGGCCCTGGTTCCCGTGGCAGCTGTGCCCGCCACCTGAGCGTGGCTTCTGTGGGCCATAGTGGGTTAGGCCTATGGCTGCTGACACCAGGACAGTCACCAGCATTCAGTGTAGTCCCTGGCCTGGACCCACATCCTCCTTCCCCGTGCCCCCTGCTGACATCCTGACCCCACACCCTCACTCCCTATCCCCCCTCCTCCCATCCTGACCCCACACCCTCACTCCCC